TTAGAAACAGGTTTTATTTTAACATCAGATCATGACTTCACTTGGTTCATATCATTTCTCATGATAATAATATACATGACAGTAACAAGTTTATCATGGTCAGAGACAACATGAAAAACAGAAGGAAATAAATCTATGCTGGTTTATTTGGATGTGTTTCCCAGTTATTACTGAAAAGTATACTAAAATTCAGTGGCCTCAGTCGGTCTCGACCTTGCCATCTCTGGTGCCATGTGTTTACAGACTTATCAAGACATTTTAAGAGCAATGAATTACAAACACAGAAATCAGAAGAAATCTCTAGCTCAAGAAGACAAAAACTAAACTAAAAGCAAGTCTCTAGAATGTACAGATTAAGAGGAAGCATGACATTTTCATAAAGTCACAAAACTGATCAACTAAGAATTTCAGATAGCGAGTCCAACTGGCTGCCTTTGTGTAACATAACTATAGAATGTTATGTCCAAAGAACTCAGCACAAGTAACTTATTCCTTTATTTTACACTGTAAATCAGTTAAGAACAAAATCTCATTTGCAATGAAGACCCAGAGACCCACTTATACTGCAGGGATTTTATAGGAGTATGTTGAGTGAACTACTTCATTCAAGGGTCCAACAGCTGTCTCCCACCACAGCCCTCCAGCACAAACCCCTAACCACTACTTCATGGACTGCCTACAGTTATACAGTAATTCTACGGCTTATCAGACTAATAGGAATTTAGGAGTATCTGTTATTGCTGAATACCCCATAAGTCATGAATAACGTTTTTAACCCAAAAACACACTATTATGTGAGATATATATATATGATTTTTGGATATACCAACTAACTTTTTTAATCAACATTACTCAAAAGTGTTCACTTGCCATTTTATCATACTGTACATATACAATCTCTTAATTTCACATTGTACACATACTGCAAAACTAGTGGTAAAAATATGAATCACACACATCATAAGTAATTGACCATTGATATACCTGAATTTTATTTAAGCATATTGTTTGTGCTTTTCATAGAGCTTTTTTTTAGCATTATAGTATTTTTAAAATTAATATTTTTCAAATCACTAAAGCACACAAACCCATTGGAAGTAATTCACCTAACCTATACCAATTGCTCTATACTTTGTTATTGCAAGGAAAGCCTGGTATTTACTAGTTTACAAAATTCCCCTTTAGCAGATTCTATCCATTAAAGTGAAGTCCATTAAACTGAGGGTTCACTGTAATACTTTATTTACAACAATTTACAGTACAGCCAGAAAAACACTTGAATTTGTCAGGAAACTCTCTTAAATGCGCGCTATACAAAAATAAAAACCTCACCGTCTCCATCTTTGTTTCCATGTACTGTAAATGCCAATGTCTGAGCTATATCTTTTGCTGATGTACTAGCTTACACTGAAAACCTGCTTCTTATATGCAGTTTAATGCAAACATGCTGAAACTTTAACTGCATTTGTGTTTATCATAATATTTCTCAGTAACCAGTAGAAACAGAGAAGCTTTGGTAACAGGAAGGGGGAGAGAAGTGTCCAACTCCACCTTATCGTTAGAAGATAATCTGCATTGATAAAAGAAGAAAATTGACATGGTGAACTAGGAACCATTGATATTTGATTAACAGTCCTGAAATGAAATTATTCTCACAAGGTATAACTTTAATGACAATTCCAGTATCTCACATGTGAGAAAAAGTTCAAGATTTCTGTAGAAGTCAAATGCTTATTTTTTTCCCCACACTCTATTGAGTTTAACAGAGGACGCCCAACGTGGAAAACTAGTTTCAGCTAAGCACAAACAAATGCAAAGTTATCTGCTTTTTCACCCCCAAAAGAGCCTGCATAATTGGGATCAGCTGTTATAACTTTAATATTCAGCTTCACCGGTGTATTTAACCGCTGCATACGTGATCAGAGCATTGTTACCTTAAAAAAGCAAGAGTGTTGCTAGACTAAAGTCCCATAGACAGATTTTGGTGAGGTGTATGTGGTTCTGTAGTAGTGGTGGTCACTGTGGTGAAGCAGAAGGTGGGTATTGCTGCCACTAATAGCTGACATTTCTGAATGAACAGAAAAAAGAGAGAGACAGGCAAGCACACTTAACCTTTTCAGATGTAGAAGCTATGCTCTGTTTAATAAGGACAACCCAGCTGCTGGACATTTCAATCTAAATTTCCACATACAGTCACATGTAGTCTAGACTACATTAAATGTTTTGATTTTGTAGCTTTAATAGCATCTGGCTGCAAGACCTGAAAGGGATCAAGCTGATAGGCAATGATACCCCATTCTTTTTTTTTCCTGAAAAGTTTATGTTCACCTAAAAAACATATTCTACCAGTTTTACAGGAATAATAGTGCAGTCTCTGCATTTTGTAAAGATGTGAAACTAAATCTTCAAAGGGCCTATAAAAAGAAATAAAAGATAATACCCTGAAGGTCCCAAACAAAATACATCTTGGCAGTCCCTACAAGTAATGCTCTGAACTCTTTTCAGGGGTAGAAGAAGGCAATGATAATAAGAAACAAGACAAATGAAGCTGGCCTGAAAATGTGCAGTTAAATCAAACAATAACCGAAATCTTCAAACTGTTATGCCAAAAATAATTCCACATGACAATCCAGCTCAAACTTCCAATGGTCTATGTTGAATTTTCCATTCTCAGGGCCTCTATGAGAGCTGGTTCATAGTACACCACTTCAGCAAATGTAGAGACATTGAAGGTTTCCTCTTACATGGCTAACAACTCAAATGAATAACGATGCTCATCTGCCAAAATACAGTAAAAACAAATGTTTTGAATGTAAATCTCTAGACATAAAATGGTTTTTGAGAGGTCAGGGAGAGGAGCTGCATTAGCTTGTAAACTGACAAGGAACAAGTAGAGGTTAATTCCTCTCTAAAAAGTAAAAATGAATAAGCAATGTTTCAATTATGGGAGTGAGGTTCAGCAACTAATATGTTTTGTCTTCTTTTTACTTTTCACCATGTTTTCATTTTTTAAATGAGTGTAAAGTTTATTTTTAAATAATAAGAACTGAAAAATGTAATAAGAAACTCACCCATTTAAAACATACTTTACAACCACCTATGAATCCCCCATCGGGAGTAACAAACTATTAATGAGAATATTCCAGTCATATCTGATACTAAATTAGTGGTAACCATACTGAAGTTTGTGGTTTTACTTTAAATCAATAATGTTCCTATCAAATCACAAACAAGTTATATAAACCATAAGGTTCTACAGTATTCATATCTTAGCCTTTAAGATTTTTCAGTCAAGAGGTGATCAACTCAATGCATAAATGAATCTCTAACAATCTCTCTTTACCCTATTAGAAACCTGAAACCTTTTTATCAAGAACAATGTTCTATAGGCTATTTCTGCTTTTTCTGATACTCTGTTATCTATTTAAAAGCTGAAATCCTAACCACAAATCTGAGCAAAAAGAGGAACCGTGAACTTGAGATAAAGGATGCACACAGCTCAGCCAACACTATTAGAGCTTTTGAAAATCTGGGGGAAAAAAACGTTATATCTGAAAGTGAAAGCTGTGACTTTTCACATTGATAAACACGTGAACTACACTTAAAAGTATTCTTAAAAGTCCGTTAAGCATGTAAAATTAGATCTATCAAAATCAAACTCTGCTCTCATAAACGTGGATCTACAATATGTAATGAGAAAATCTAAAACTAAACAGAACTGAATGATTTTTGACAGAATACAGAGATCCTACTTAAACTTCTGTCATGTACACTGCACAGAGTGGACTTAAGTTTATACTCGATGAAACCGACCTGAGTGTGTCGTTATATTAAACCAGATCCGTAATATATGGTAGTAGCATACAATCATGGGATTGGGCTTGCGAATTTTGGTTTTACCCGCAAAAGGTCGGAAGGTTATGACAAGTCGAAAAGCTTGTTCGTAGCTCAAAGATCGTGATGAAGAGTTTGGATCATCATTTAAAGTCCGTGCTCTTAAAAGTACCACAAACTTTTCGTGGCCCTCGAAGTAGTTTTTTGCATGCGATACAGTATTTAAAGGCATCTCAAAAGGCCTTCGACCTCGGCAGCAGATCTGAAATAAACTTCCCCGAACTGGCCTTAACTACAGAAAGCAGTAACCAAGTACACACCGCGCCGCAGCACTTAGAGACGCGTAAAATCGGGGTTATTTTCTTCCTTCTGTTGCATTTACGATTGTCTTCTTCTGCCATCTACAGCGGTGTGAATTACCGCACAATATCCAGTCACTGGTGGACTGTACTGTCTGGAGTCAAAACAACAGGCCTCTCGTCAGAATTGCCTAAGTGTATGCGCTATCGCCGAATAATAAGGTCAAGCGTCTTTCAAGCAGTAACAGTAATATGACCATCGCCACCAACTGTGGTGTCGTTGTGCAATATGAGGGGATCGGACACCGATACGAGATTTGAAGAAAAGTACGGAGATTAAATAAGTGACTAAACCAGAGGCTGGCAGGCCTATGCTCAGGTCCCTTGCATTAATCCTTATCCCAGCTTTTTGTACTGGAGCTCGGTGTGGTTGTGCAATGCTCAAACACAACACAGCTCGTCGGATCTACGGGGAAAGGCGACATTAGGACCGCCTAAATGAAATGATCTGGTTTATACTCAGATGTCACTTGGCCAGCCGGCTAGGGACAGACCACTCCTGCCTGCGTTTTCATCTTCGCGTGTGTCTTCACCCCGTCTTCTTTCTGTTCCGAGCCCTCTTTCTTTTTTTTTTTTCGGACACATAAACACACCCCCTCCTCCATCCCTACCGTGCCCTCCCTACATTGTGTGCGTTAGGTGTATGTGTGTGTGTGTGGGGGGGGGTGTTATGTGTAAAGATGTTTACTCCGGCTGGAATGAATGAGCCTATGCCCTCCCAACGCTTCTCCAGCGACCCCCCCCCCCTCCTCCTCTCTCCCCTCGACTCGTCTGCTCCTGCCCCCCGGTCTCTCCGCTCTCACTCACCGCTCTCCAGCTCGTTGCCTTTCTTGGCGGTAGCAGCGTTTCCCATCGTAAGGAAGACACAGCAGTGGCTCGGAGTGCAGGAGATGGCGATACTGCTTGCTGGAAGGGGTTCCTCGTCGTATTCCTCGTCTTCGCTCTTGTATTTGTTATATGTCTATATATATATGTATATATCAGAGGGGGGAATTCAGATCCTGGTTTGCCAGCCCCTTTCTTCCTCTTGATCTTTTTTTTTTGTCTTGCTGTCGGGGAACCTCTCGTCTTTACCTCGCTAGCATATAGTCACACTCTTTTTTTTCCCCCTCAGCCTCCACTGTTGATTCTCATCCACCACAAAAAAAACACACACACTCAGAGCACACACCGGAAGTGACGGTAGGTCAAGGAGAGGAACTACAGCGACACCTGGCGACCAAGTCCCATACAGTAGGGAGACAGCGGCGCGCTGGACGTGACACAGACCGGGGTGCACAATAGCCAAATCACTACCAATTGATTGACTCTTACCGCTGTGACGCAATTGTGAACCAAGCCAACAGAAGAGCTTCCAAAGTACAAAACTGAACCAAACCAAATAAACACCGCGGCAGGGCTTTTTACCGAGAGGTGAAAATGCAGGGATTCCCCCCAAAAGAAAATGAGAACAATTTTAATCCCAGATCCTCTGTAGTGTGTACAAATAACACTCACATAGATCTTTTCTGACAGCGTGAACTGGGTCTCTGTTGACCATCTCTTAGGCTTAATGTTTTAAAAACTAACGTCATCATTAACAGTAAAGGTTTAAGATTGATTTTATTAGTACATTTTAACTTATAATCTAACAATTGTTTTATATTTTTATCTTCATTAGAACATACTTCTTCAAAAAGTTACATGAAAGCCTTCTGTTTTAAAGAGGGAAATTGAGAAATCTGGTGGTTCAGAACTTCTGTGGAATTGACAATCACTGCCTGAGCCACTGAGGTGGGACTATTTTGCATATCAAACTCTTTGAACTCGGGAGACAACATCATACTCGTGGCAAAACAATACAAAACTACCAGGGGGGAGAATCTAAACATATCAAATCGATTACACCCAATTTGAACTTTCAGTTGTTGCGGCTTCAAATAAAACCTGATACGTGTAATTTGAGGGGCTTTATGTCAAACATTAAAAACACAATTAGCTAACTATCGTTTTACAAATCAGAAGTCAGTCTAATACACCTGTTCTTACGGCCTACCTTGATTCATTTTGAGACAGATAAGGGTTTCATCCCTCGGCATCAGACCCAGCGAGTACCCGCGGGGGCGCGAGAGGGCGGCGCGACCGCTCCATTGCCGTTAAACCGGAGACGCCGGTCACCTGGCAGTGCGGCGCTAACTGACATAACAACAGCTAATTACAGCCGCCTACTGGGGTTTAGCAAGGTGTGTGCTTTCCTCTTGATCTTGGGGTTTGGAGTTAAGGCTCAGTTTTGTTAAGATTTCCTTATGCACGTTGTTATTTTTATTTGCAAAAGTAAAAAATATAAATAGACGGGTACGATTCAAGATCACCGTTGTCAATCCCGCTGAATAATCAGATGTGATATTCATTTAATGGTTTGTTTTTAAAAAAAAACACGATAGGCGATTACAGCATAGTAAAGGCGCAAATATAAAACTGTACCCCACCACCACCACTCTACAAGTAGCTGAAAAATATGTAAAAATCTGAAAGAATCTCCCACCTATCACTTACCACCCATTACTGCCAATGAAGTGTAAGTCTCCACCCGAGCACACAGGTAGTCAATAAACACATAACAATATCTCATATCACAAAACAAGTTTTTTCAATTGTGAAATTAGCCACCTACTTCTAAAATTGGCAAACACATGATACATAAATCTAAGACAAGCCTGTTTTCACAGTTTGTAATTGCAGCAAAAAACTAAAACTGATAAGACATTAGCAAACATTAATCAACAAATGGACAAAGTTAACGTCTTGTGTGAACTATACAAAATAAGCTATATCTCTTGGAACAGGTTTATTAATTTCAAAATCACATTTGTTTGTGAAGATAACTATCTGTAAAAGAACGAAATTGAATTGGTCAAGAGGGCTGTTTAAACGGTTGAAAACAAATAGAATTGCAACAGATTACACAGTCATATGATAACTGAAGGCCAGACTGAGGTTGTTCTCATTGGACATAGGGATATGTGTCAAATGGAAACACATAAAACTAATCCCATTATTTGATATACTAAGAGATACGATATAATTTAATCTTTCTCATTCTTGAATTAATATTTTCTTGATTTAAAGAAGCTATGACTGCTGCCAAAAACTGTATAATAGAATAGAATAGACCAGAATCTTTATTGCCACATGACCGAAGCCGGTGGAAATTGTTGTTGGTACAGCTTTGCTACAGACATTTGACATGTGACAATAACATACAGAATCTAAATACAGGACCAGAATGCATAATATACAAGACAGATTATTAAAATACAGGATGACGAGAGACAGTACACAATACAGAACATAAAAAGTCACTCTATAATCGAATATGCAAAAAAAGCCCAGTTGATGCCCTGCAATGTAAACATAGACAAATGTAAACACAGACAAATCAGTACAATTTAAATGTGATACAGATTATAAAGCACAATACTGAGTTTTTGATGGTTGGGGGCACGTCACTTGTTGAGCAGCCTAACAGCAGTCGGGAAGAAGCTCTTGAAACATGAAGTTTTGGATGTCAGTGATCTGAAACGTCTACCTGAGGGGAGCAGCTGAAATAAGTTGTGCGCGAGGTGAGGTGGATCCGCAATAGCCTTGTTAGTGCATATGGTGGTACGTTGGGTGTACAAGGATTCAACTGAGGAGAGGGCAGTGCCAGTGATCTTAGAGGCCTTCGTAACAATGCGTTGAAGTCTTTTCTTTGTTAGGATGTCCGTGCTTCCGTACCACACAGAGATAGAAGATGTCAGAATGCTCTCTATAATGGCTGTGTAGAATCAGACAAGGAGGTGTTGACTGACTCCAAACTTCCTTAATTGTCTGAGGAAGTACAATCTCTGATGCGCCTTCATGATGAGATGGTCTGTGTTGATGTGCCATTTTAGAGAGCTACAGATATAGGTGCCCAGGAGTTTAAATGAGTCATTATGGCTATTTGTTGACCACTTATAGAGATGGGGGATTTGTGATCCTGTGAGTGCCTGAAGTCTACAATGACCTCAAAAGTTTTGGATGTGTTAAGTTGTAGGTATTTGTAAGCACAACAAGTGACAGCTCTAACTACTTCCAACCGATATCATGCTTCATTGTTTCCAGTAACGAGGCCGCTGATGGTGGTGTCATCTGGGTATTTGAGGATCTTGACAGTACTGTGCTGTGATGTGAAGCTGTTTGTGAACAAGGAGAAGAGAAGCAGGGAGAGTACACAGCCTTGTGGCGCACCTGTGTTGATGGTCAGAGGATGGGAGGTAAACTCATTCACCTTGACTGATTGACGTCTACATTGCAGGAAATCCGACAGCAAGTAGCACATGGCAGGGTTGATGCCCATATCTATTATTTTATTGAAAAGTTTAAGAGGGTTCATAGTATAACATTTAAATATACCATTTAAATGGAATCAGAACGGGATCAGATCCACTTGCTTTATCTCAATGGATTAATTAATTAAATTACCTTATGCACTTTAAAAGATTATTTATAATCTAAGAAGGCTCTCCATATCTGTTTTTTTTAAAACATGGACCCCAATGTATTTATACTCATGATGATATTAAGCATACAGACCTGGTGGGTTAATTATTATCATGGTATATTATTTAATGGATGGCTCTTTCCCCCTTGCTAATTGCTTAAAAGGAACATAGACAATATCAAAATGTCAAAGAATATTTTGTTGCATGTTTGTCATACGTCTGTAATACTTTCTTTTAAAAATCCCAATATATTGGCACAAAATAGATTGTTTCAAAGTGTAGGACCAACCATTATTTGGAGACATAAATTTTAAAATCAACAAAGTAGCAAAGGGACTAGTAGTCACTAAGGAACAAGTAATAGGTTTATTCTATGCTGAAAAGAGAAGAAAGAAAACACAACGTTTCGGCCTTGGAGCCTTCTTCAGGTGTGAGCAGGTGAGGTGCTCACACCTGAAGAAGGATCCGAAACTTTGTGTTTTCTTTCTTCTCTTTTCAGCATGGAATAAACCTTTACTTGTTCCTTAGTAGCCACTAGTACTACTAGTGACTGAAATTCAAGCAGTGGTTGATCAAACTTGGCTTTGGTCAGCAATGACCGCGGTTTCGAGCAGAAAGGTAAGACAGCTGAATTCCTGAAATAGAAAGTGAGGAGGGATAAACACTTCGTTGCCTGATCAGAATTCTATTCAAATGTTATGAGTAGATTTGCAGGAAGCCTTAAAGGCAAGGAAACCCACCAATATCCATCAATCCATTTCCTAACAGCTATATTCAATATGTCGTTGTGGGGAAGCTGATGTCCATCACAGAGCACACACAGACACAAACACAGACACACACTCACACCCCGTCACAGACCCACCAATATCGATGTGCTCAAAATTCAAGAAAAAGGAAAATAATCCTTTGTAAACAATTGATCTTCTCCTACATGGAATCAAACTCGTATGTACAGTACAGTAGTTTAAAATATATACTGTACAACTCATTCTTTTAATGTAAGTTTCCTTTAATAATGTAAAATGTTACGTCTTTTTATATAATATACTTTTGCTTTTAGTTTCATATACAATTGAAACTACAGCTACGATAAATTAAACAGTAAGACTGCCTTCATCATTCTCTAATAACATTAACGAACTTCAATATTGCAACAGGCTAAGCAAGGTTTATTAGCACGGTGGATAGAATTATTACAATCTAATAAAAAAATTACACTTTTGAAAATGAGGAAATAACATATTTCAATATGCAAGGTAGATGTTTGACTGGTTAGTTCTAAAAGTAAAAATGAAGAATTTAAAATTATTGAACATTTCTTGAAACTAATAGACTTCGAAGTAAAAGATTCATTCTCTGTTTATTATGCAAAATGTATCTAAACTACAAAAATGTTCCATATTGAAACACATTCCACAATTCTATGATTTCAGAGGAATTATGTCTATTAATTGGAACTGTAACTTTTCTTCTCAGGAACAATAATCAGACCAGGTTAACTGTACTAATTTATCTTTGTTTCCTTGTACACATTTAAATATTTTCATAAACAAGATGATCTTCAGGTACTGTTTATTGCTGATTCTCAAATAAAAGCAATAAGCACTGTAAAAACAATGGATTTCCTTCAAATGGATCTCAGTGCTGTTTGCTGTCATGACCCACGTTATCTATTCCAGACCTTTTCACATACAGACATGTCTGTTAGTGACCTACACGATGTCATGCAATCTGCCTGATTAAGAAAACTCTCTAAAACCATTCATCTGGTGATTGTATTAGCAATACTCTCTATTTACTGTACATATGTTCCTGAGAAACCCTCAAAAGTCTTCAAATTCAGAAAGTTTTTTTTTAATCTCCGCAGAGTCACTAGTACAGAGGAGAAACACTCTAAGCAAACTGCTGTAACACTAAAGCAGACCATTTTTCACAAAATATTCGCATTTTTCTCTTGTCTGGCATACTCTAGCATTGTTAGGATCTCTAACTAAGGTGCTCTATTTGCATTTTTTTGTGCACAATTCTCTTTTATTCCAGCAGACATAGCAAACATAAACCTGAAAAAAATCAAACTACAGTATAACGTGGAGCCATCTTGTTCGATGAGCATGAGGGGGCCGTTGTAACCATGAAAAGTATAGCAACCATTTTCAAATGGAATGAAGTTGAAGTTTTTATTATATGCATTTTCCTTTTGCATCTTTTCAGTGCTGTGGACTACATCACATATAGTATTATATCTGTCTTGCGATTCTGTATTAGAATCACTCGGCTACCTGAATATTCCAGCAAAAATACTTTCTGGAAGGATATAGCAAATGAAGACTGATACCAGTAGTAGTTTGGCCTGACTTTTCTTCCCCTTTAATCTTTTTGGGGATAGGCTTTTGAAAGTCTTTTGAAAGATGATTTTTTCTGGAGCACTCAGTTGGTGGGACGGATTACATATTGCACAGCCAAACATCCCAGCAGAGGAGTAAAATAATCCATAACTAAGAAACTTAATTACTCAGAAATTCTAAGGATAAAAGTCTAGGTGCATTCAGAGCAAATTCAGATTTCTGTCCTTCTCAGGTTCACTGGCTCGGGGGCACTGATGGGTTGTTCACAGGAAACATTTACCACTACACTAAATTCATACATTTGTTTGTTAATAATCAGAAATAAATCTGTGAAACTAAAATAGTAATATCATTGTTTCAGTGCACCCAGGTAAGAAATGCATTAGGCAGATAAGTAAAACTATAAAACTGAATAACTAAATTATGGCCCAGATACTTTCCATACTTTGTTTTATTTGATAGGGTAGGTTTCCGTGCAACACTGTTAATTCAAACCACATTACTCTGAAGTGTTTTTTCAACCTAGATTTGTGTGTACAGATTTCCTTTTCCTAAGATCCTCATCTTAGATAGAATGCAAGAGCTGAAGACAAAAACAAAAGGTCCCATCATGTCCTATGACAAAGGAGCAATATTTCAGTTCGTTAAAAATAAATACTATACATTATGAGCAGTTACTAACCTACCCACATTAACTTCATTGCCAAGTTCTCTATAGTGTGTGTCTCTTGATGGGAAGTAATCAACTCTCATTCATGTGAAGAGTAATTACACAGTCAAATCTGTTGAGTACCATTCGTACTTCTGTTTCTGTCACATGGTTTCATTCAGCTCTAGCATGAGAATGCACTGAGACGAGTCAGCTGTTTTTCATCGAGTGGGAAAATCTAATCGGCACACATCTCTGTATGAAAGGTAATTATAGGTACTTGGTGAGGTCTGAAAAAATATCCAATGAGTCACTTGAGCTGTTTCATTAAAATTAGAAGAAAACTTTGAAGATAAACTAGTGACCTTGATGAATTCAACCCCAGGCCTCTAGTCAATGTTTTCAGAAAAAGACATTTTTGTGTCAGTGCTTCTAAAAGTCCCAGTGCTGCTATTTTTGGAAGGTCCATTACCTGTGCAGTTCTGCATGCTTTGGCCGAATCATCAATACTGTGCCTGCTGTGTGATCCTTCACTACCAGACAGCGTGTCAAGAATTCCTAAACATGGAATTTTGGCTCGAGAGTTTTCTTTAAGACACTCATATTACTTACTGACCCTGTGCCGAATCCACGAGGTAGTGCGGTTTAGGAACTGTGAAAGAATTAGCAAAATTACAAGTTTGAATTTTAAGCATCTCGGCATGGAGACGAGACGTATTTTTCTCAGATTAAAATACTGCCTATAACAAGTTAAGCAGTCTTTGCATGAAGCAGTCTTTCCATCACGCTTTAGTAAATGGATCTTTGTTAGAATGAGAAACAAAAGGGGCACTGGGAAAATGAAAAGATGGTTTGAGTTTCTTTACTAAAGTGCTCATAAATTTGTTTTATTATTTGTACTCCACTTTCTGGGCCGCACACAGAACCCTGCTGACAACTTAAATTGTGTTTTCTGTACAGAGTAAACAAGCTTGTTTCAGTGATGGTGATAAAGTAAATACATAAAACAAATAAAATCTACATTTACTTGCATAATTGGCTTTCCTTTTTAAAAAAAAACTAAATGTCTTGGTCTATATGTACCTCCTGTTTTCTACCCTGAATTCTTAAATTATACTTGTGTTCCCAGAAAAACTGTAAATTTTGCCCTTCAAGTCTTGGGTAATTGCACTGTTTAAGCATTTTAACTAAGGAGATTTAAAAAAAACACACATCCATAAAATTGCATGCACTTTAGCCCTCACAGTTATGGTAGCACCTGGGATTATTAGTGAAATACAACATACTAAAGACGAAAACTGTAAATTTGTATAAACATATTAACCTCCAAAATGTTTTTGTGGATATTTTAATACAATCATTTCTTAATGGGATTTTTCTCATTATCAATTACTTCTGCTCTACTGCTGCATATACTGTAAACATATCATTCTTGAAAAAGGCAATACCTTTGTCTTTTCCTGGTCTTTCCCACTTTTGTTACTCTGCTGTTAAAGTCCCTCTATACAGTGTTAGCATTCATTTTAAAACCTCAAAGTAATTTAGGTTGTCTTCTGAGTGCTCATTTTAATGCCAAACTCAAACTCTCTACTGTACCTATAAGTCACTCCCCTTCTTGATGGTGTTCCATGAGTCCAAAGAGTAGTGACCGTCCCTTTGAAAGTTCACCTATTTTTAACATTTTAATTTTTAATGTGTAAAAATAAACATACAGGAAATTGAAAAATAACTAAAATGTCTGTTTTGTTTGGTTACATCTAGGAAACTTGAGGCATTCATAGCTTTCTTTCCGTATCCAACCTAATCATCGTCATCATAAATATTAGCCATGGCTAGAATTGCTATCATGCAGTGCTGGGGCCCTGGGTTCAATTACGGACCTGGGGTGCTATCTATGTGGAGTCTGTATGTTCTCCCTGCATTTGCATGGGGAGTCCTCCCACAGTCAAAACACATACTGCTCGATGAATTGGCTTCTGGGTGTTCTGCTACGAACCGTTGTGCTGTTCCGTGTGAAACCTTGCACCCATTGCTTGCCAGGATAGTCTCTGGTTTCTACACAACACTGCATTGGATACAGCGGTTAGAAAACGGAGGGCTGGAGATTAATCATTTGGATAAGCCACTGGTTTTTTGTTGTTGTTTCTTCTTTGCAGGTTTTCAGGAATAACTCTAGTGTGTCATTGAGTTTCAGACCAACTCAGAACTGTGCCAGCAAGAGCAGAAACAGCAAAAAAAAAAACCAACATACTAATATACTATGAACCTATTAACTAAATAGAAAAGCTGGAAGTTCTGACTTTATATCACAAGATGTAAGGGTTTTTTATAACCTTTTTTATGTAAATAAATAGTATCACTGCATTATTTTAGCCACCAGTTTTAGTTGTCTCAAGTAGCAGGAACCTTCTAAATGAACCAAGTAATGCTGCACTGAGATTATATCTTCACCAATCTTTAAACAAGATAGTTGCATCATTTCATTATTTGTTTTTTAAAACCTTTATTAAACAAAAAAAGCAAGAGCCTTTGAAAAGGGACAGAGCATTTACAGAAATTGAAAGCTTTTCTCACACACATACACACACACACACACCTTGGCGACTGCATCTTTCATAGATGGGCAGTCACATACAGTTCATAAGCGAGTCTGACATGAGATGTAGTGAGTTTCCTGTTACTGCCAGCCCCTTTGATGCTGAAGGTATGCTGTTGGAAGGAAGAATCGGCTGCATATTTGGATTTGTGTTCTCTGAATCATCCATTTTCTCACTGCTATCATCCCAGTTAATGTGGAACCTAGTGACACGGGGGTTTGAGGCCAGGATGTTTCTCTGGAGCTGGAAAATAGGAAATAAATGGATACTTCAGAAGGAAAGTCTATGACTGTTCTAGTTAATTTACTATTGTCTGCAAGTACAATCAAATACTCTGGAAAAATGTCTGCAGGATATACCAGTTTTGTTTAATACAAATCATGCAGGTACAATATGAGTATAGAAAATAAACAACCCAGCTGTGATTACTCCCATTTCTACTGTATATTAAACTTAATGATGTTTGCCTTGAATCTCAGAGTAATAAAAACAGTGGAATTTCATGACCAGCACAAATTCAATAGCACATTTTATTAAAATTGAACAGGACAATGCAGGTGGTGATTCTTTACTATTGACTTAAGTTTGGTATTCTTTTAATAATAATAATAATAATAATAATTGCTTACACTTATATAGCGCTTTTCTGGACACTCCACTCAAAGCGCTTTACAGGTAATGGGGACTCCCCTCCACCACCACTAATGTGCAGCATCCACCTGGATGATGCGACGGCAGCCATAGTGCGCCAGAAAGCTCACCACACATCAGCTATCAGTGATGGAGTGGAGTGGGTGAGCGCCCCCTGCTGGCCCCACTAACACCTCTTCCAGCAGCAGCCTTAGTTTTCCCAGGAGGTCTCCCATCCAGGTACTGACCAGGCTCACACCTGCTTAGCTTCAGTGGGTTGAACTGAAGCTAAGCAGGTGTTTTTTTTAACTTTTGAACTGCTCTCAGGTCACTGTGATCAGAAAGAACTATATACATCTAACTTTTTTGGATAAGTGGAATTCTGTCACTACGAAATATTTTATTAGCAGTTGGCTAGTGATATTAATTATACTGTACCTATACTATATATACCTAAGTAATTATACTTGTCTTTTTCCAATATAATCCATTGGTAAATATTTTAGATCTGCCTTGTACAATATGTGGCTCTGTAATGAAAATTAAAACACTTTAAAAGTTCATTTGAGGTTTTTTAACAAATAGGACACTGAACTTACTCAATAGTCTTGGAATATTCTATGTATCATGTTAGCAGTTGAAGTTTGATTTTTACAACTCTCTTTGAGGAATGAGAAACAGTCTGAGCCTTCCACCTTGGGAAATTGTTTTGGGGAATTGATTTTTAGTGCATTAATATGAGCGTGTTTATATTATGGAAAATGAAGATATTCTTATGAGTCTTCATTCTGTACCAATAAAGGTTTGCAAGTTTTCTTCAGTGATTCTGTCCAGATAAGGTGTAAACCTCCTTCACTGCATTAGATTCCACTCCTTGTATCATTCTGCTCACACCATGGATATGCCACTTACATAAAATACCTGTGCTTCCATGTCTTCCATTTTTATAATAAAAACATTATTTTATTATATAACCACTCAATTTGTAATCACCAGTTGTTTGAGACTCAGCTTTCCAGCAATGGATCCTTCACCATTTGAAGAGAATGAGAGCTACAGCCCTTCCTCTTTTGACACACTGCCAGTGCCACAGAACCTTAGAGGAGAGGATTAAAGAAGCAGGACATCTGTCTCTCAAGGATATCGCTGCAGGTGTCGCTGTTCTGCACAACCCAGAGGTGACCCACTCTATCCCCAGTGCTACTCTGCCAGTGATGCTCCGCTGAATGGGGTATCAGTTGACTATCAATATTATCCAGATTTGAACCAGCAATGTGTGAGTCACCCAAGACTAGCTTTAACATACCACTGTCACTTGTACCAGGTTGACACTATTCCATTTCATATTAGATAGGATAGGCATGAGTGTACTAAAATCTGAACAAATGGATATTTAACTGCCCCCGAAAACCTTCAGACATTTTTGATGGAATATTTTCTTTCCAGTCCAGGTAATAACGACTTATCTGTCAAGCCACTGGTTTGCTAAAGTGTGTGCAGCTCCTCTCTGCACTGCTGCAAATGTTTAGGCGCATTTACCTTTGTGAAATCAGGCTTCACAGGCGGGTTTTCTCTCAGCTCTGGGTCTGTGTATTCATTATTCACATAGTACCCCACTCGAATGAACTCCTGAGCTCGGTATGTACAAGTTATTAACACTACAGTTACACCCACGGCATCTGCATCAGGAATCAGTCCTGGATTTGCTGCGTCAGCCTGAAATAAAACAAAAGAAAAACATTCTTAATCTAGAGCAGATAACTGATGACATGTGCACAGATTTGTGACTAAGATGTCTCATGCAAGATATAAAGGATTCTAACAGGAGAGTTTGACAACTTCTTTTTTCACCTTAAATTAAATTCATGTGATCATCTTCCACAGTGCATTAAGTGATTAATTAGAAAAAAAAGCACCTAAAGGTTAACACAAGGATCAGAATTGCAGTGCTCAGCTCAGTTGACCAGTTTTCAGATGGTAGTAAGCACATACACACCTGCAAAAACAGTCAATGAATGTTAGAGATGCTTTAAGTTTTTAAAAAGAAAAGGTTCTAGTAATTGCAGTGCATATTGCATAAAGTACACACTAAGAAGCAATAAAGGCCAAGCTAGTGAATCTGAGCAGTGCAATGTGAAGCTCACAGAACTGCAGTGTGAATGATATCTTTCCATCTATCCCAGCAGTGCACAGCTTCGTGAATAATGAGGTAAGAAGAGTAACACAATCCTCATGAAGTTTAAACTGTGCTGTAAGTGGAGCATGCGGTTTCTATTTTAGGATTCCCAGCAAAGCTCATTTTACCTGGCATTGTTGGTCAGTTTCACTTGTTGGCAATTCTGGTCTTCTTAGAGAAGGGGTCTGCTCTTTTAACACAGCTTTTATTACCATATGGTCAAATCTGACCTTTAACCAACTAAGAATTCTTTCAAAAACTTTTAAACAGACTATTTTATAAAAATTGTCCAAACTATAATGAAGCTAGGACACAGTCAGACATTTCTTGAGCAGCTATTTCTCATACTGTATGTTGTAGGCCCATAAATGACAAATGTCTAATACTACTATGTTTTTTAAATGCAAATATTACAAATTCATATTTGTATATTTGTCTCTCACAGTTAAAAGTACATTTTCAATCCGAGTTGTAATTCTGAGAACATTTTGCTATATTAATATTTCAGGTACTGACAAACTAACAAATGTGGACACTGCTTCAAACCCAATACCAAACCGCAAAAGAAGGTTCCGGATAAACAGCAGTTTAATCCACCACAGGTTGTAAAAAAACCACAGGATCTTGTATATAAGCAAAAACCAGACCCAGGGTGTTCACTTGTTAGCGTTTTCTGAATAAATCTGCATAGCTGCAGTTAGAATAAATAAAAAACTGGGATTCTTTATTTCTTAAAAAAGGAAAACTTGAAATTGTGAATTATCTTCTATCTTATACCCACTGAATTTGGACCCGCCAGCTGTTCATGACTTGGCTTCATAGCTACACCCTCTGTATCGCACGGCAAGATCCATGGTGCCAGACAGAAGCAACGTTGTTCTCACTGATGTCCCAGGACTCCCAGAAGAAAAGTTCAACTGAACACCACCCAACACCTGTGTGCCAGTAGCACACACCTGCTTGACAAAATCCAGGTTACGCCTGGAACATTAGTGGATCATTATTTTTATTCCCAGACTTTCACTCCATCAATAAATCACTAAAATGCTGTGCCACACAATTCAGTAGCCCAAGGAGTTCTTGAAATAAGCTCTGAAAACTTAGAATAAAATGGAGTTAGCCTGTGTTCTGGACTTTTTCCAAATAAAACAGAAAACAATTATTATAATATTATAAAGTGTGTTTGTGTTTCTGTAATTAAGAGTACTTAAAAAATTAAAAATGCACTCTGGAAATGAACAGTAATGAAGTGTTAGAAAACACACAACACTTTATCATGCTCAATACAGCAAAAATGTTATCAAGATTTATAAACGCTTAGTAACTGTGAGGCAGCATGAAAATACAATTATTTTGCAAAAGTAAAATCTTTTTAAAAATCATTAATTTAAAAATACTGCAACATTAGAGGTGAACAGATGATCAGTACTGTAAAGTAACATACAACAAAGATAAAAAAAGTCAGACAGAATATCACATATGTTCAAATAATATATTTTTCTATCGTGCTGCCTTTTTAAGCCAAATACCAATTTTATTAAACATTTAACACTCTATTCACTTCTGTTTTTGGTTTTGCATAGCTTTAAATTGACATCTCTGTTTATTATTCAAGGTTACTTATCCTATTTCATTGTTTAATAGTACAAGTAATAATAACAGTAATAACACTACATATCACTTAGCTTTGTTGTTAAAAACAGTGATTCCAGAATCAAAAATTACTTTTCTTTATTCCCTGTTCTGGTGTTCTTGGCAGCAGGTTCCAATCAATATAATGAATTATAGAAAATTAACTGCCACTCTTAAATTTTTGATAATTTTAACATTCTTAAGACTGGTACTTTCATTCACTTGACAAATGTTCTGCGCAGCTCAAAAATACAGGCTTGCTCTGACAGCATGCAGCACATAGATATCAATGCTAACCAATAGGAGCTCAAAGAATTAGTATGTTGCTGGTAGAAGCAAGGAACAGCCAATAAACAGGCTTAAAATCGCATCTCTGTAGTGCAAACATCTGCCACAATAAAGCTGCTCTGTGTCATCATAAAAGGTGGAAGATGTGCATATTTGAATACAATATTTTAACACAAATGAAAAATATCTCAGTGCATGTGAGGAGGCGATAGGATCTTCTATGCCCATAAAAATCCTTCTGGTAACCATTATTAAAAAATGCTGCATAAAACCAATATAAGTCACACAAAAGGTATATAATGGTCAGCCAGAGACGGAAGTCATCCTGATGTTGATGTACACTCATCAATACACTTTAGAAGTGCACACTATTAGATGTGTGTGAATAATGACACCAATAGCAGTCAATATGACATTGTCAATAAACTGAATTTACAGTAGAAAATTACCTGAAAAACAAACATGTGTCTCCCAGCAGGCACAGGGCCTACCAGCACAGAATCCAAGACCTGGTCGTACTCTTCACTCTCTGCAGATCCTACGTAAATTATTTTCCACTCCAGATCTGTAGAAACATAAAACAAAAGGCATGAGGATTTATAATAACCATTCAGTCTGATAAAGAGGGAATATCGGGGTAGTTCTTTAGCAAACAGTATAAGAATTGTGTTCCATGTAAGGTACTGATCTGAAAGACTCAAAATAAAGTAATAAAAGATCTTAGGTCTTCAGAGTGATTTCAAAGTTGGACGTTCATTATTTGAAAGTTCAGATTTTGACTGACGTGGCAGGAAAGTGGACTGCAAAGGTCGTGCAGACCTCAAATGCAACATTTGAAAATAACCATCACAAAAGAAAGGAAGAGTATTAAGGAAGATAATACAGGCTTGCATGTTTTAAGAAATGTACATGTTATTTACAGATTTTAAAACATTTCAAATATCCTTCAACCCCCCACCATTCCTGCTCTACATCAAAGTGGATGAATACATCAGACTTAGTGTGAGCACTGTAACTTTGCTGCACTTTGTATTACACCTATTTCATTTCATTGACACCAATTTGTATGGATTCATACTGACAAGAAAAGAAACCAGGCCACTTTTTATCAATTGTTAAAATTGATAAAGCAAGAACTTTGATAAAATGATTATTAAGCTATGCAATGCTTTGCATATTTACAGTATTCCTAATATGTTGAATGTGACCTATATATAGGTTGTGGTGTACAGATCATCTGTTTTGGCAGCCAAAATATGTGAGCACTCAGGGGCTCTTCTATCGATATCTGAGTGACCAAGCAGGAAAACTAAATCATGTTAAGAGACACAAGGCCCTCACAGAGACCACTCTGCACTTACAGGCACATGGTGAACCTGAAAACTCTTGACTGTACTGCAAGGTTTTATTAGATTAAAGCTTAACTGAAGGTCTGCATTCCAACAGTGCTTCCTGTACATCCTTCTTTCGGTACATCAAGAAACACCTACAGGGAACTGGAAATGAACAAGCTGTTAAGCAGCAGACTTCCATGGCAACGCCTGACAGAGAATTTGTGGTATCATTAGACAAACACACAACACCGTGCCATCTGACTCCTGCAACACAGTACAGCTACTCTTAAATCTCTAATCAATACAACAGCGGAATCCGTGATGATACAAGACACAGAACTTTTCAGGGGACACATAAGAACTTGACCCATGATTTAAAAACATAACAAATGAAACAAGCAAATGGCTGACCCATAAAACACTTTCAAATATAGATGAATGAAGTGAAATGAACTGGGAAAATGTGGCCTGCACAAACCACCTGTACAATCAGGCGAAAGGAAAGCTCCTGCAATTGAAGGACGCCTGCGCTTGGTCTGTAAATTTATTTTACTGTTGGGTACTACTGTGGCACTTTGCTGTTTATTTTTCCAATTCCATAACTGTATCCTCTGTAATTAAGGGGGAGGGTGGGAAGACACAGCCTTTTCTCTCCTTCTACATACACTTGCAGGCTTTTTTGCAGTCCAGAAATACAGAAAAGATTCACCACCGATATAATTTATTTCCAAGACAGCAATCTTGTTCTTCTGCCTTTTCCATCACATGGCCACTGTGTCACATACATGTTACACACGCTACAATGAGCCTAAATTAACCCACTGTAGGGAGCAAAATTTAGTTCAATTTCAGGGGAAATCTGACTTTTTTTTTTAGAGGTGAACCTCTGTTTTCTATATTACAATAGCTACCTAATGAAAGTATAGCTTCAGCACTTCTAATAAAAGACTGGATACCAAATAGCAAGGAATTCTATTCTATAATTCTATCGGAATTTCATAACTGAATAAGAGTTCATAATTTGCATTGGTCTTTTTGATCCATAAGCTGTGCGCAGCTCCTAGCAGCTGCTCTCACAGTGTCCTGTGGCTGTGATTCGAAGAGTCCCTTTGCATCAAGGAGGTCACAATGTGATATTACAATGTGTTCCTACCTCCCACCACTCTCCTTCTGCTCTTCCTGCTAAATATCAAACAGTTTACCAAAGGCTACAGTTAAACTTATTCTAGCAGGCTTTCAGAGTAGGCAAAAGAGTAGTAAGAGAAGGGTCAGTTCTCTACAAACAAGATGTTAAAAAGTTCTTTACATCACCAAAAGATGTAAACTGAAAAAATATCTTGATAAAACAAAGTTGAACTTTGAAAGGTTGAAGTTGACATGGACTCTTTTCCCAGAGTTCTCAGCAAATCCTATGGCCACCTTGTAAAATGTCTGCACTGAACTGACTTGAAACACTGCATAGATAATTTTACCTTCCACATATTACGTCACGCTTTGTAATATTTTAATTGCTTCACATTATCACATGTCACAGTTACACTGTGAACACGTTTAATCTTTATCGTCATTACTAATCATGAAAGGGTTAAAACTGGCTTCTTTTTTTTGGCTATACAAACCTAGGACAAAAAGTTGTGCATGCTAAAAAAAAGCCCTCAAACTAACACAGAAGCAGCTGTGCATACAGTTTTAACTCTTTTCTTTGCTATGTGATTAGAATAAGCTATAACAGCAAGCAGCAACGACAGCCCATTAATGCTTTTTTAGTTATTCAGTTAATCTGCGGGAGCTGAATGTTTGCAGACATAGATATTTTAAACTGTAGTAATGAATCTTAAAAATGTGATGAAGTGGGAACCAAAACCAAAATGGTTCATCTTCCAAGATGTAAGTTGCTTATGGTTTTCAACCAAGTAGCCATATAAAAAGGATAAACACGTAAAAGAGCTGCTTATTACAAAGAGGAATTTGAACCGTCTCAGAGTTGTGCGTGGCACTTATTTTCAGAATTCAAATGTCCCAGTTTCTCACTCTGGAAATCTGGTAAACTGAAGCTTGTTTTGGAGGGAAAAAAAAGTTATGAAAATGGCAGTGCAGCTTATCCCATAAGGTCTCGATAAAGCTCATGTCAACAATACTGTAAGACAAATTCATGATCAACCTCCTTCGTGGTTTGGGGCCCCATTATCATGCCTGACAGATGACTTGTGAACATGCACTGTCACGTCTGTGAATGGCATTGTGTGACAACACCCTCCCAGGAAATCACCAATGGGAAAAACTGATATTGTTCTCTCCATCTTTATCTACTTTTAAAGCAAAGAGCTTTTTTATGTTTCAAAGTGTTGCTATGTAGACAAAAAAGCTTTACAATACAGTTTAATGCCCATAATCTACTGTCGACAGACAACAGAACAAAGGACTACTCACCACACTAGAGGACAGCAAGTCATTTCTAGCAATGATTATCACTTTGAACCATCCATTATTTTCAACATCTATTTCTGAGGTCTGTAATTATGCAATATCTTGTTAAAAACTAATTGTATTTTGAAACAAGATACAAGATAAAGTGAGACCTAGGTACACTGGCCAACTGGTTGCATTAAAGGTAAACAGATAAATGTATTTCTTTCTCTCTTTGACACCACCTTAGTTCTAATTTCCAAATTATGAAAAGCAGTTGGCTGCTTTCAGCACCTAAGGCACTGGAAAGCACCTATAAAATTTACTGCAAGTAAGCATGCAAATAAACCTAAGAGATGTGAAAATAGTTTTAATACTTCTGGATTGTGGGATTGCCAACAAGCTATTGATAACCTCTTAAGGTATTCATCAGTCCCCTGATTGGAAAGCATAAGACTAAGCCTATGACCTTAAAGTATAAGGCTGGTTTTCTCAAACACACACGCAAATACAGTACTCACAAGATTTCTATCGTCTCAGAAAATCATAGTGGTTTGTGTCATTAACCAATCATCTCGCATAACATGGAATTTTAAGACGACCCTCTGGTAGATACACATTATTGTAACGTATTGTAACTTTTGCTGAGAAAGGGTACATTTTGGAGGTTACATAACAATGTCTGGTTCAAACACTTCTAGCTTTCATTTAAATGAAGGGACTGTGAATGTGTCGCTGTTTACCATTAATCAGTACTAAGAAATATTATTAGACTATCCATAATGGGTGCTACAAATTCCGTATTAGCCTAAAGTATAAGCAAAGTGACATTTAAAACACTCTCAATGCGACTGCCCACGCCAACGGTGAATAAATATAACGAGGTGGAAAAAATGTTCAAAGGAAATATTTTTCCCCACAGAAAAAAAATGCTGCCCCGCTCGCGATTTGACACATACTGTAACCCACCGCACTGACTTCACCCACGCCAATTACAGCGAAAAACGATGATAGAGAATAATATTACTTCAAAAACGTGGGGCGACTAACTTTTACTGTATTATTGTTTTTGTACTCTTACATACAAAAAAGTTTAAAACTGTGTTAATTGGCATGGCGATTAAGGAATCCTATCTGACAAATTGAAAAATTCCACTTACACCAAAAGCGTGATAAAACTAAGCTTTCCATCGGACGCATAAAGATTATAGTAACTATAAATATACACAGCCAATTTAGACAGAATACGGATTATTGGCTATAACTAGCATCAATCCTGGTAGGAGCCTAGCCAAGGATTGATGCTAGTTATAGTTACAGCCTACTTCCTTCCTGTGGCGAAACATGATTGAGCACTTCATACATTAACCAAGATAGTTTTAACAGATTCATTTTTCGCAAGTTTATATTCAAATAATTTTATTTTAATGTTTTTAGTTACACGCTTTATTTGTAAAAACAAAAACTTCTATAATTAGAAGTGGTCATGCTCTCCATACATCTAGCTAACTACGATTGTCAGTGGGTCTACTGTCACTTTGCTTTTATTATACAAAAGAAAAATACATATTTTTAAATGCACTCATACCATACTGTCCAACAACTAGAATATTCCTGACAACATGGCTACCTTATCCGTAATACAGAGCCTAAATAAATCGATTACCTGAGTCAATGATAACGCGACCCCTCGGTGATAGAATACATTCCATTACAGAATTTCTAGATATCCGCGTTAGAGTCATTTGAAAATAAAAATAAACACCACTTACTAGTACTCCGTTATGCACAATTGTTAATTACAAAACTGTTACATATTTATCAGCAAATCCAGGCCTCGCAACCTCCAATCAATTGTTTTCTCTCTACCTTCTTAGCAATTTACAGTTTTGAAACAGAAGTACACTTACTTACCTTCGGGCAAATCTTCAATGCACTCGAAAGTAATCTCAAACTGAAAAGGATTGAAAAAGGGAGATGGGTTATCCAACACTACTACATTGTTCACCTGAACCTTTGCCATATTTTGCTACACGAAAACTATTAAGTGCGGAGTCAGCGCTACAAAACACGGCGCTTTCTAGTAAACACGCCACCCACGTCAAATACTAAGTATCGCACAGCGCAGCCAACTAGTAATCCAGTTTTTTAAATAGAAGTAACGCCGTCAAATACCGAATATCTCCGTTTTTCTGTGCCTACGGGTGACATTAAATTGTACATGACCGGCTGCACAGCTCAGAGCTGCGAGAGCAGCCTTCAGCCCAGCAGATGATCCTTGGGAAGGCGGAGGATTTGGATCTTTTTGCACACACAGTACAGTAAATTATTTGTAACTTTTATTGTGGGCGCCACCTGCTGGTTAAATAAGTGATGCATGCACATTTTCCCGAAACATTGTTTTTCCTTTGCTCAGCTTGAACACAACCAAACCTATCTTTCACTTTAAGAACTACTTCTCTCACAATAATAGTTTTAAAAAAGGCTGTTTTTTTAGCCCGTAAACTTCGCAGTTGTTGCTGTATACTATCTAATGATTTTTCTTCCCTTCCCTCAAGGAACAGGCTAATGGAAGAACTGCTAATACAGACTTTAAAATCCCTTTACAGTAACAGTGATACCATAACTGTGTAGGATGTGAACATCTTAATTAGGTAATTAGGCACTTGTTAGACCAAAACTCTTTTTGCATGCACCGGCAGAGCAGGTAAATCCAAAATACCATTCCCGCATCTCTAAATCGTATCGTTTGCAATGTTTCTGGTGCAGAAAATGCTCTAAAATGACTATTGTTCCCATTATTGGTCGATTATAAAATGGCTATAAATTGTTGACCCATAGCACACACCACAGGGCTCACCCATTTACAGACAAGATTCTAATAATTAGTTGGTCTGCTCTAAGCCAATATCTGTTGAACAACTATGAGAGAAAATGGCAAAAATGGGTGAATATATATCCAAAGTCCATGATACAATGAGTAACTACATTTACTTTCATAGCAGGTAATGATGATACCCCTCATCAATATATAGCTAGATCCTATGGCAGTGACAATAGCTGTCATATATCATAATTATTGTGGAAAAAATGTTTTTTGCCTTAAAATGAAAGTATTAGTTATTATGAAAGTATTAAAATGTGGACTTGAACCCTGAACTCTAAATACAACAGTGATAGAGAAGCTACTAGGCACCCCCCAAAACCATGGACAAATGTGTGCTTGGAATGACAAAACCCTATATTAAAAAGAATGAGTTAGAGCACAATGTGTCATCACTGTCAAAGTAAAGACACTAAAATGGTGATTAATTGGACTCATATTAATACCAATGGATCATTGTTGGACCAAGGAATTGTTGGACTAGAATTCAATCGAGTGATACAAAATAGTTATGAAGAGGTCCTGCTTTCAGATGGCCACGTGAAATAAAAAAGTTTGGAAGAGCAGGTTGCATATAGAAAGATTAAGGCAGATTCTTTGAGTGCAAAGTCAACAATAAGGTAAATCTGAACATTATTGGAACAGTACAATAATGTGTGTTAAATGTATTAATTATCATACTTTTGGCCTTCTTTAGTTTGGAATATAAATGATTATGATGATTTCCATACAATGATGAACCTCTCCTTTTTATCCCAAATCACAGATTTCTCAATATTTAATGTCATTGGCAATTAATATATATATAAATGGATTGACAAAATGTACTTGTTTGAATGAAAAATACAGAGTATTGCATCAGATTAAATTCATATTATATTAAATAAAAATGTCAGTAAAATAAACCTATCATATCACTATTACCCATTTCCAAAATTGAAGTAGACTTTCACAACTTGTTATTTTAAAAAAAATACTGTTGTATCTTAGGTCTTCAATAGTCAGAAATGTTATTCTCCAACCAACTGTGAATTACAAACACAGCACTTCATTGTGGGAGTCCATTTGATCAAATGAAGGAAAAAAATACTTTGCCAAACAAGTACCGGGGTGTTCTTTGTAACTGGCAGGTAGATTGAGGCTTTGAAATATATTGCACCACATTTCTTTTGAAAAATCCAGGAGGAGCATACTTTTATCAAGTGTAATGTCATCCTCTTTTAGTCAAGGTTCTTGAAATCAATGAGTGCCTTATGTGCTTTGAAAATTCATTCAATGCCCTGATATTTGCAGTTGGCCTCACAATAAATGAACCTGTTCAAAGAACCTTTGCATAAATTTGTCTTTTTTCTGCAGATAAAGGTGGAATCGAAATAAACAACTGTCAATGTTTTTAAGCTCTTAGGCACTTCTAAGCTCTTCTCTGACTTCTAAAGTCAGAGAATTAGATAATATTACTATAAATAACAGACGATATTAACAAAATATGTATCTATATTAATTAAATATGTATTTAATAAGGCTGGCATGGTCATGCAATGGTTAGCATTGCTGCCTTGTAGCACTGGGGCCCAGGGTTTATACCGAACATGGGGAGTTATCTGCATAGAGTCTGTATGTTCTCCCCAAAATCATGTGAGCTTCCATCCACAATCCAAGGACATACTAGTAGTTAATTACTGTAGATTCTGGGAAAACATGCCCTGGTGCAAGTAAGTCCAGGTCTGTGTTTGTGTCTGTGTGTGCCATGTGAGGGCTCGGTGTCCTGTCCAGGGTGTACCCTGCCCTGTGCCTGTTGCTTGCTGGTCTAGTCTCCAGCTCCCCTGAAAACATGAATTGGACACAGTAGTTAGAAAATGGATGGATGGTATCAAATAGAACAGGAATCAATGATACATATTTAAACAAAGTTTCATACATGTTTATGAATATTTGTGATTGCAGTGGTACAGTGATATCAGGGGGTAATAGAGGTGCAATTATTATTGTTTGTTGTAATAGTTCTAATGCACTTTGGGCACCTAAACAGTTCTTTGCAAAAGCTTAGATGTCTCTTACCAAGTTAAATATTTTGAAATTTTTAAATATTCCATGTTCATTTTACTATTGTAAAATATGAAACTGTAGCAGTTCTTTTGTGTGTGCAGACAACCTGCATGAATTTTTATTGGAATATTCGTTTTTAAAGAGGACACTAGGCAAAATATAATCATTTATTTAAAGGGGACTCAAACATGCTTCAAGAGAACTATTTTTCCTCAGTAACTATAATTTAATAGTGTGGATTAGTGATTAGAGATCCTGAGTCTTTTTCCCCAGTGGCTTTAGCAAACCCATACACATGTACAGTACTAAGATGTGTATTTAAACAAAACAGATCATTGTATAATATGTAATTTGCGTTGGAGAATAATTGTCAGCCAAATTAATATTATTGTTATTAATAATAATAACAGCAACAGCTAATTAGGCTGGATACGGAATGAAAGATATGAATGCCTCAAGATTATCAGTTACACCTAATCAAAATACTAATTTTAGCTATTGTTCAGTCATGATACTTAAACGTGAGCTCTTTCTATTAATACTGTATTGAAAAGAAGCAGACTATTGATTTACTTTGCATTCCCTTACACATGGGTCATAAAAGACGGGAAATGAATCTAGGAAAATAAGTTTATGTTTCATTTGCCCCGAGATTTTATGTGCCGGTGTTGATTAACATGTCTTTTTAAAGTCTTCTATTATTTTTAAAAATGATTTTAAACATAGGACATTTAGAAGAAAAAAATGTCAAGCTGATTTATAATAGTGTAGTTCTGTTTAGGGTCGGTTTGATCGTATAATTACAGTAACATAATAAGAAAAGTTACTCTTGCCAATGAGAAAATAGCTTCTGCAGCACCTATTTATAACTTTGGATAATTCACTCGACAGCAGAAGAGAACCATGTAACAAAATATGCACGAAAAGGACCCTGAAAAGTGTATTCTCCAGAACATCTAAATTAAGGACAATATTATTGAAAAAAGCTTAATAACATGGAGCGTGTCATCACCACCATGTAGTGTGGTCAAAGTGCCTACAACTCCAGCTAACCAGCCAGGGCAGGCTGGTAAACTAGTGTGTTGCTAAGTCTCTGTTTGCATTGGAAACAGCAACGATAGGTAGGAAAGGGGTGAAGCTCTTTTGTACAGAAAATAAATATGCCTAACTGCTATTAAATACTATAGTGAGCATGCATTTTTCTATTGCTAAGTAATATAAAGCTATTTTAAGGCATTAATGGAAACCTGGTTTATTTAATTTCCACGAACGATATGAGGCATAGAATTAAACTTCCCTACAAAACGAATGGTTCAAACCAGGGTGCTTTAACCCTCGATATACATGGAGCGACTATAAAGAGCGAACAGGGCTGTTCATTGGAGGAATTCCATATCATCACTTGCATTCAAAAATAAATTCGTTATCTCACATAAAATTAAAAAAAAAACGGTATTAAAAGCGCTTGGAATCAGATATTGAAATGCAGTAAAAGAAGATTTGTTTCGGCAAAGAAAAGGCGTAGGATAACAGGTACAGTGCTATATGTCTTGTGATTTGTACAATAGCCCTTTATTTTCTACCGTGTATCCACTTATATTAAAAACGACTGGCTATACTGTACACTGGCATTGTATGTGCACGCCCTTTGTTATTGTTCCTTGGTATTCTCAGGAGCAAAAAAAAGGCTGAACGTAGCGGATAATTTGTAATTGTGTTTAGTTTGAATTAATACTGATGAAAATGTCCTTAGTTCTGTAACACGTCATTACGTCAAGAAAGCCGTAATATTCAGACAATACACAACGCTCTTTGGTCGTGTGCTTATGCAGGTTCACGCAGTACCAGCGCAGGTAATGTTTAACAGAATTTATAAATGCCAGAGAAAAGCTAGGATTTGCTAGCGAGGGTTGCGGGTTGTGCTCATTTGCTCAGCATCACTTGTAAAGCAAATACAGTGAACTGTATTCTTCCGGGATGGGGTCTGGCATCACTTGTTTTTTACTACCAGCAATATTGCCATCTGAGTTTGGTTTGCTTAATTTGATTTGCACACTTTGTGTTTACATTTATATGACCTGGGTTTGATTTAACTTTAATAATTACTTAAGTAATACCAAATACTAAAGGCCACTGCATCATGTACTAAAAGGCTAATTCTAGTGTCGAGCGTTTTCTAAGGACACTGCAGTACCGATAGCTCCGGTCTATGTTGTCATGCATTACAGAGGCCTTATTTCCCAATGACTTGCCATTAGTTAGGCGACAGTGCCAGTTTACGTGAAATATTACTTCACAACTAAATCACAAAATAAATCAGTGCGCTCAGCTGGTAATGTAAAGAACGACCAACGAACGACTCCTGCGAAAGTGATGAAAGTACATAAATACTGCTTGATGTTATTTAGTGTCAGTTCACGTTGCTGGCTTTTCCGAATCATTTCTTGAAAAGGCCTAGCCGGATGACACTGACCGGGGGACCAGCATTTGATAATCACTTTAAACAAGATACTTCTATTAACATATTGACTTACTGTATATACAGTATTGAGGTAAATTAAGATCTCAAAACGGGACGCTGGGTATCATAACTGAACAGTTTGCAGTATTTTGTTCTTGGTGATGGTGGAATAATCTCAGTAAAATTATAGTTTAAATTGGCTTTATAAGAGCAATGAAGTTGTTCCTGCATGCAAAGGATTACAGATAACTTTTAAAATTCTTAAATGGCATCCCAGATCCCATGTGAAATAAGATATAAAACCAAAGCAGACAGACAAGATTTCATCATGCTGACATTCATAATGTAATGGTAGAGAAATTTAGCCCCGAGACAATTCTTCCGTACCTTCCAAGGCTAATACTGTTATAGTATTGTCGTATGTGATATTGTGAGGACAAATGAGGTTGTGACTGTCATTGCAGAATTATACAGATAACAAAAAAGAATGAATCCCCTGCTGTACAGGCCTAAAGAATTTCAGAGCATCAGCTCACCATATTTTTCTCTTATTAAACTAATATACTATATGTGGCACAGTAGATGAGAATAAATTATGAAGCACTACACTGTTTGCTTTGCTATAGCATGTCCAATTTAAAAATAACCAAGCAAGTTATTCAAATAATAGCATATGTTTTACATTTAACAATTCTTTGTACAAACTAGTATAAGGACCAGATCCATCCTATTCTTTCCTTAATAATGTATATAGGTGCACATCATAAAATGTAATCAGTACAATTCTAAAAACATTTTGTTTCATATTTTAAATGCCCATTAATTCAACTTCCCAAATAACACTTTATTTTAGGGGTTATCTGTAAACCATGTATTATTCTTTATTAGTTAAACACAGCTTGTGCTAGCAAAACATGCCATATTAGTGAAACATGAAGGGTATGTATAATTTATTAGTGATAAAAGGTAAGAATTATTGAGCAAGTCTTTCAAAAGGAGTTGTCCGTCATCTGTTAAGTTCTTGTATGTCACTCATAAATAACTTAACAAATAACTCATAAATAACATGACTTATAATCTGACTCTTAGATTAAAGTATTACCCATTGTAGGTATTTTGTGCAATAATCACAAGCTAACTTATCACTCCTGTTTCAAATTCAAAACCTCCTCCTTGAGGAAATGTTTAGTAAGAATGCAAATCTACATAAAAGTGCCTGCCTGAAATATACAGGTCTTCAAGTCAAATTCAGAGAAGTACCGAAGAAAATAGTCCACAGACATACTACTAACATTTGGGCAGTAATAAATATTCTCCTAAATTACAGCCAAAATAAAGCCTTGGCTTTCCTTTTGACATTGAAGCAGAGAGCTGTGTTTTATGAGATGAAATGAGAGTTTTATGAGATTAAAGACTTTAAAATCCATACACATTTAAAAATGAACAAAGTGGAGAACTAAATTGAAATTATTGTTCAATATAGGTTAAGATTTGGCTTGTTTCACAGATGTAGCTTTTTTTTATATGATGAAAATTCTCAGCACTGCCTCGTGCTTTGCAATACCATATACCTGGTACTTCTTACTAAAATGTTAGAGACTGAGCAGTTCTATCTCATTGTTATAATAACAATTTATACTGATACATACCTCCTATTGTATGTGTGTACCACCTATTTTGAACAATATATTTTTTCTTTTCCTTTAATGTTCAGTGGAAGGCATTATAATTAGCTTAAAAAACAAAACAAGACAATGTAAATTGTTGTAAAGCATTAGAAAATGCTGACTCACACACTTTCAGAGACAATGCAACATTTCTTTCTTTCAAAAACAGTGCAAAACATCACATGAATTCTTTTTTAGTGATGTGAGAGTTTTAAGAGTGTGGAATTGTGCAGGACATAATTCATTCAAGTGAAATTTGTGCACAAAAAGGAGTACTAATCCTAATTTATTTTCAACACCTCACAATATAAAACAAAAAACAAAATTTTGACATTCACTGTTGAACTTACGAGTATCTGATTAAGCCAATAAAAACATCTGTCAGAGCCGCTCTTTTTAAACATCTGAGCTTGCAGGTTTTCATTGCCAGTGAACAAAGCAGTGTGACTAGAAGAAGGAAATGTTGTCTGGTTGTATTTTAAATGAAGACTCATTTGTTTGAAGCAGTAACACTGTGAGTTCATATTTAATTTAAGGAATAGGCCATGAGCTGCAGTTCTACATTTAATCTCAGAATCCTTAATGAGGGTATGTTTTAAACTTTGCCATTCATAAATATCCCCTTAAAAGTGTCACCTAAGCCAGTGTACACAAGGATCTTGTACAATTCAACTAAGATACACCACAAAGTTACTCTAAAAAGACCCACATGCAGATCTGTTTGAGTGTATGACAGATTCTTACATACAGTACAACAAAAGTTTAAGGGAAACAAATAATTTGTACATACAGTATATCTGTAAAAAGATGGCTATACATATTTTACGGTTCATACTTAATATGTTGATGGCATTAATAGTTGTAAATTAGCTGATAATGTTTGTAGTGAGGAATTCTGAAAGGATTTGAGTTCTACTTCTAATCTGAAGAAAAGTGTATGCGGAAGTTATTTTACTCAAGGTAATGCAAAACAAGTTGAAAAACTAGGAACCTCAAGTTAATGAGTTGTTTGCCTTAACCACAGGAGCACTTAAATGCAAGGATTTTTTTACAGAGCTGCAGCACCTTTTAGAAGGTGTTTAATGTGCAGACTTGAACTTTTAGGGCATTTACTGCTTTATTCTACCATTTTAAACTCAAAAAGTGCCTTAGCAGGAAGATAAGGAAAAGTTTAACAGTTTGTTTTGCACTGCGCTATTGGTCCTTACAGATATTTCTTTTGTACAGAGAAGTTGCACTTGTTCATGTAACTTGAAGAACTGTTCTTTGTCTTGTCTTTCCTGAAGAAGCAGAAAGACCACTTACATGTTGGTAACAAACTGGATAAAACTATGTGCAGAATTCTTGTATGTAGTTGTACCATGGTTTGCTGTAAGGCCTGACATTGACATATTACAGTGATCTGTACCTATAGGTGTCATACATACGGACAGTAACAGTCAACTGTGTTATCCCTTTCAGAAAGCATAGCCATCTTTATTCAGCTTTAGAAGTCAAAATGCTTAATTTAAAAATAAATAATTATCATAGGAAGATCCTGGTTACCATGGTGGTGCAGTAGTAACCGTTGTGGCCTCACAGTGCTGGGGTCTTGGGTTCAGTTTCGGGTTATATACTGGGTTTAGAAATTAGACATAAGCACATCTATTATTGCCTTGCAGCGCTGGGGTCAATTCTGGACCTGGGGTGCTATCTGCATGGACTTTGTATGTTCTTCTTGTGTTCACATGGGTTTCCCCCAGGTGTTCCAGTTTCCTTCCACAGTCCAAAGACATACCAGTAAGGTTAATTGGCTTCTGTGAAAATTGGACGTGTTGTGAACGTGTGTGCGTGTGAATGTCTGTGTGTGCCCTGTGTCGTACTGTTGTCACACCCAGGGTGTACCCCACCTTGCTCCTGTTGCTTGTCAGCATAAGCTCCGGCTCCCCTGCGACCCTGAATTGGATGAAGCAGTTAAAAAAATGGATGGATGGAAGATGCTAGTTAATAAGGTACATTAAAAAGGTTTTTGATATTGACAGAACAAGCAAACATCCACCAGCTCAAAGAAGTTTCCGTAAACATGTGTTGCTCACAGTGTGCTACATAATGTTTTTCAATATGGGAACAGAGTATACATATATATTTTTTCCAGAAAATGACCTCAAACTACCTCTAAAATGCACGTTCTCTCAGATAAGTAGTAGCTATTTTTAAATTGGTCGGTCACGTTTGCTAGGCTAGAAAAAAAATCTGACAGGTGCTTGTTTCCAACAGTTTGGTTTCACAGTATCCAATTATATGAGCCTATTACGTAGCCATACAGCAGTGTCATTAGTTTAATTTTAGATTTAGAGTAAACATAAAGCCTTATGTCAGCCAAGGAAGAATAAATCAGTTATAAACAAGCCAACTCTAACTGGTCT